GTCAAAGGAAAACGAATAAAGCTCGACGCGCGTGCTAGAGATATCCTCTCCAAATGATCCCCTACCATAACGAAGCTTTACGACAATTCCGCCGACAATGGGTCAACGAACTGATGCATTCCACCGCTGGCATCTGGCAACCCCGGAATTCAACCAGCTACTCAACATCATATGCCCCAAGTATCTGACCAGAAAGGAAGGAGAGGAAATCATGCGTCAATTTAACGAGAGTTGGATTGATGAGAAGCAGGTTCTTTGGAGCGGCGTGGCTCATGCCACGGTCGAAGAATGGGCAAATCAGCGTGGGATGCAAACGCTTACCAGTGCCATGGGCGATCTGATGAACTGGACCCATCCAAAGTGCAAAAGACCCCACAAGACGAGTGTGCAATGGACGAATTACATGAAGGGAGTCTCCGCGATCTTCGCCTGGAAGATTGCCCAAGGACATACCGTCACCTTGTTGACGCCTCCGCCGCCCGTCCGCTTTCACCCGTCGGGTTTAACCAACTACCAAGACATTGAAGAGCCGGTTTTGAAAGGAGCGGTTGACGGTACTGTTATTGGCAAGATTGTTGTAGTACATCCAGAGGTTGAAGGAGCTGAGGACATGGCATATGAATACATACTGGCCCAAAGACCGGGTGGCCAACTGGTACGCGAAATGTGGTTCCAAAAGTCATGGGACCAAGATCTGGCGAACGATAAGTTCCAAGAGGCGTAAGACCCTGATGTGACTATCTTAGAAACCCGATCCTAATCGGAACAGGAGCTATGATCTGGCCAGCCAAGGTAGATATCTCTTGCGACCCTTTTGAACCGGCGATATTGGAAGAAATGGAGGTCTTCATGATCATCGGCTTACTTCTCTCCGCCGAAGTTTGCATGCACTTAGTTGTTTCACTGGCGATGCTGGTGTACCACGTTTCTTCCACGCTGTTCCCACGGATTCGTGTGTACAGTTGTGGGCACGATGAGCCTCAATGGCTCGTCATCACTCAGAAGAGTGATGCACACCTCAACGTTAACGTTGAAGAAGAAGCCGATTCGGCTTTCCTGCTCCTTTCTGTGCCTCGGTCATCCCCCACGAAGACTGTTGAGTCTGTCATGGAGGATTTCGTGAGACCCAGAAGCACCAACGTACACCGGTATGCCT